TGTGCTGTTAACCTAAAGGTTGATGGTTCAAATCCACCAGCTATTTCATGTGAGGTAGATAAGGCAGTCTGCTGCTATAAAGATTGTTGTTTTTATGTACCATCAAGTCAGTTCTGACTCATAACAACTCTGTGTAGGGTTTCTAAGGAGCTGCTGGTGGGTTTGAAACCCTAACCTTGTGGTTAGCAGTCCAGTGCTGATCCTACAAAGCCACACCAGAACTCCTCCATAAAAATCGTTATTAAGTGCTGTAGAGTTGATTCCAACTCATAGCAACCCTGTATAGGGTTTCCAAGGAGCAGCTGGTGGGATTAAACTGCTGACTTTGTTGTTCGTAGTCCACTGCTGATCCTACAGATTGTTGTGCTGTATTTCAGTGCAATCGAGGCGGTGGTACTGACTCATAGCAACCCCATGCACAACAGAACGAAACACTGCCCGGTCCTGGGACAACCTCACAATTGCTGCCATGCTTGAGCCCATTGATGCTGCCAACTTGCCACTTTGCCATTGATGCTGCATCTCATTGGGGGTCTTCCCTTTTTCTCTGACCCTCCACCTTACCAAGCATGATATCCTTCTCCCGCCTGACAACATGTCTGAAGTATGAGAGACGAAGTTTGGCCATCCTGGCCTCTAAAGAGCACTCTGGCTGCACTTCTTCCAACACAGATTTGTTTGTTCTTTTGGAAGCCCTTTGAATATTCTCCTTCAACACCATAACTCAAAGACATCAATCCTTCTACAGTCTTCCTTATTCACTGTTGAGCTTTCGCATGCATATGAGGTTATTGAAAATACCATGGCTTGGGGCAGGCACACCTTTTTCCTTAAGCTGACAAGTTTGCTCTTCAACACTTTAAAAAGGTCTTGTGCAGCAGATTTGCCTAATGCAATAATACGTCATTTAATTTCTTGACTACTGCTTCCATGAGTGTTGATAGTTGATCCAAGAAGAATGAAGTCTTTGACAACTTCAATCTTTTCTCTGTTGATAATAATGTTATTTATTGATCCAGTGGTGAGGATTTTTGTTTTCTTTACATTGAAATGCAAGTGCTCTTTGATCTTCATCAGTAAATATTTTAAGTCCTCTTCACTTTCACCAAACAAAGTTGTGTCATCTGTATATCACAGGTTGCTAATAAGTCTTCCTCAAATCCTGATGCCCCGTTTTTATTCATACAACCCAGCTTCTCAGATTATTTATTCAGCATACAGGCTGAATAAATATGGTGAAAGAATACAAACCTGTCACACACCTTTCTTAACTTTAAAACATTCAGTGTTCCCATATTCTGTTAGAACAACTGCCTCTTGGCCCAGGTACAGATTCCTCATAAGCACAATGAAGTGTTCCAGAATACTCATACTTCACAATGTTGTCCATAGCTTGTCATTATTCACACCATCAAAAGCCTTTGAGTAGTCAATAAAGCACAGGTAAACATTTTTCTGGTATTCTCTGCTTTCAGCCAAGATCCATTGTACATCAGCAATGATATCCCTCGTTCCACAGCCTCTTCTGAATACGGCTTGAACCTCTGGAAGCTCTCTGTAAATCTTTAGTAAAAACTTTACTTGCATGGGATATCAAAGATATTGCCTGATGATTTCCGCATTCTGTTGGGTCACCTCTCTTTGGAATGGACACAAATAGGGATTTCATCCAATCAGTTGGTCAGATTATTGTCTTCCAAATTTCTTGGCATTGATGAGTGCCTCCTGTGCTGCCTCACTTTCTTGAAAGATTTCAATTTATTCCATCAATTCCTGATGCCTTGTTCTTTGCAAATTCCTTCAATGCACCTTGGACTTCTTCCTTCAATATCATTAGCTCTTGATCATATGTTACCTCTTGAAACAGTTGAACATCAACTATTTCCTTTTGGTACAGTGACTGTATATTTCTTCCATCTTCTTTGATGCTTTCTGCATCATTCAATAATTTGCCCAGAGACTCCTTCAATAATGAAAGTTGAGGCTTGAATTTTTTCTTCTGTTCCCCCAGCTTGAGAAATGCTGACCGTGTTCTTCCTTTTTGGTATTCTGACTCCAGATCATTGCACATTTTGTTGTAATATTTGACATTGCCTTCTCCAGCTGACCTTTGAAATTTTCTGTTCAGCTCTTGTACCTCCTCATTTCTTCCATTTGTTTTAGCATCTCCATGCTGGAGAGCAAGTTTCAGTGTCCCTTCTGACATCCATTTTGATCTTTTCCTTCTTTCTTGTCTTCTTAATGACTTTTTCCTTTCTTCCTGTATGATGTTTTTGATGTCATCCCACAACTCTTCTGGTCTTTGGTCTTTAGTGTTTAATGTATCAAATCTGTTCTTCAGATGATCTCTAAATCAGGTAGCATATAATCAAAGTCATATTTTGGCTCTCGTGGACTTGTTTTAATTTTCTTCAGCTTCAGTTTGAATTTGCATATGAGCAATTGATGGTCTGTTCCACAATCTGCCCCAGGCCTTGTTTTGAATGATGATATGGAGCTTTTCCATGGTCTCTTTCCACAGATGTAATCAATTTGATTTTTAGGTATTCCATCTGGTGAGGTCCATGTGTATAGTCATCTCTTATGCTGTCTAAAGAAGTTATTTGAAATGAACAAATTAATGGTTTTGCAGAATTCTATCCTGTGTTCTCTAGCGTCATTTCTATCACCAAGGCCATATTTTCCAACTACTGATACTTCTCTTTGTTCCCAACCTTTGCATTCCAATCACCAGTAATGATCAACACATCTTGATGGCATGTTTGATCAATTCCAGATTGAAGAAGTTGGTAGAATTCTTCTATTTCATCCTCACTGGCTTTAGTGGTTGGTTTATAAATTTGAATAATAGTGTTACTAACTGGTCTTCCCTGTAGGCGCATGGATATTAATTATCCTATCACAGACAGCATTGTACCTCATGACTGATCTGGATATGATCTTTTTGACAATGAATGCAACACCACTCCTCTTCAATTTGCCATTCCCTGCATAGTAAACCATGTGGTTATCAGATTCAAAATAGCCAATACCAGTCCATTTCAGCTCACTAATGCCTAAGATATCAATGTTTATGTGTTCCATTTCATTTTTGACAATTTCCAATTTTCCTAGATTCATACTTCGTACATTCCATGTTCCGATTATTAATGGATGTTTACAGCTGTTTCTCTTCATTTTTACTTGTGCCCCATCAGCAAATGATGGTCCCGCAGGCTTTCTCCCCCGGGCTTTACTCCATTTGTGTCATCACAGTCAATTTTACTTTGAGGAGGCAGCTCTTCCCCAGTCTCATTTTGAGTGTCTTCCAACCTGAGACGCTCATTGTCCAGCACTGTATCTGACAGTGTTTCTCTGCTATTCATAAGGTATTCAGTGACTAAATATTCATAAGTAATTCGTCACTCCTTCTTCCTAGTCTGTCTTTGTCTAGAAGCTCATCTGAAACCTGTCAACCATGGGTAACCCTGCAGGTTTTAAAATACCTGTGGCATAGCTTCCAAAATCACAACAACTCACAAGCTACCACAGTAGACAAACTGACAGATGAGTTACAGCCCCCCACAAACCCTATGTCCTATAGGATTGCTGTTGAGTTGGAATCAGTAGTGGGTTTTGGTTTAGTGCAATAAAAGACTCAAAGCCCTTTAAAAGGTTTAAAAACTGCACAGGGAGGAAATGAAGGTGATTTTCCTCAAGAACCTATTGCAAGAAGGGGTTGATTCAATAGTTTCCTCTTTTTGGGATCCTTGCCCACTAGTCTGCTAAATAAGTACTCTGCTCCACCAAAGGAGTGACTCATCATCCTCACAGCCTCCAAGGCTACCCACTCCTCTCCACTGACCCCCCACCCCCACTCCTAAGCCTCCCTGAGAGCCCACCAGTCAGCTGAGCCCTTCCTGCAAACATGGCCCACAGCATTTGGCAGTGAGTCACCTCTGATATCTTCCAGTACAATCTGGGATAATTAACATTTTATTGTTATTTAACTTTTTGCTGTAGGTGTCTCATCTCCCTAATGAGAAGTCCTCCTGGGTAGGTTCTTCTTTTCACAGTAGCCGTGGAGAAGTCATTTTGTCTTTTTGACTTAGTTTCCTCATCTGCAAAGCAGAGCCAACAATGTCTCTTGGGCAGAGTGAGCTCATTTTTAAAGGAGCCATTCTCTCTAGTGTGGAGGGTGGTTCCAGGGTCTGAGGTCACCAGCTGAGAGGAGGGGTATCCCAGATCTCTGCAGGGATCCACAGGAGGGGCCTCTTTTACCTAGTTAGCTATCATTTCTAAGGGCTATTTGCATCATACTAAGATCGGCTAGAAAGAACAGATTTAAAAAGCCACAATCGGATTTCTTCAGCAAATGGAGGTTGGACTCCAATTCAGGTTGGACTCCTTCAGGGCAGGTCACCTCTCTTTCTGGGTTGGTAAGGAGCTCTGGTAGCGTAGTGGTTACGGATCGGGCTGTGAACCTTAAGGTCAGAGGTTCGAAACTACCAGCCACTCCGCGGGAGAAAGATGAGGCTTTCTACTCCCGTAAAGATTTACACCCTCGGAAACCCTGTACAGGGTCGCTATGGGTCGGAACCGACTCGACGGCACTTAACAACAACAACAACAACCACGGCTTCACGTGCTGTGCAGCCCCGCCTGTTACCAAGTGCGTCTCATGGCCTGGGTCCCAGGAATCCCTGGCACGACCCCCCGCAAGTTCCCTCTCATCATCTCCAATGGGCATAAGATACACGGAGTCTCTGGAAGGGGATGGGACTTGCTTGAAATCACATAGGGTGCTTAGCTTTCAGGGGGCCCTGGGTTGCTCAGAGCTGCTAGGGGTGGGGATGGGAGACAAACAAGTTCGGCCCCCAAGAAATTACTGCTCAGCCCCTGTAGCCTGGGTTCTCGTGTGGGGATGAGTGGTATACTCGGGGTGTGCGGAGGGGGGGGGCGGGGTGTTGCTGTACACAGCCCCCATCTCCTTCCCAGGAGCATCTCGGGTGAACTTGCCAATGGGTTTCGAGGCGCGTGCTCCCCCCTCTCTCCGCCGTGTGCACGCTCCCTGCGCGCGCCCGAGCCCCTGCGCCCCGCCCGCGTTGCGCACCGCCTCCCGCCTGCTCCCCGCCCCTCCCGCTGCACCCCGCCCCCGGTAGGGTACCCTCGCCGGACCCGAGAGAGAGCGGAGTCGCCATCTTAGTTGCTGCCGCTGCCTCTAGCGAAGCGCTGCCTCCACCGAGGAGGGAGGGAGGGCGCCGGCGGCCCGAACGCACAGCCCAGCGTCGCGGCGGCGGCAGCGGCTCATCGGCGGACCCCGGTGCTCACTGCGGCGCCCAGCAGCCGGCCTCAGGCCGTGAGAATCTCACTCGGCTCCCCGCGCGTCCCTGTCGCTCCCGCCTCGGGCCGGCCGTGGCGCCTAGAGCCAGTGCGATGCTGCACCGTCCCGCGCCCATGCGGGCCCCGGCCGCCTGGCTGCTGCTGGCCGGGCTGCTGTGCGGCGGTGGGGTCTGGGCCACGCGAGGTAAGCGCTCTGGCAAGGGAACGTCAGGGTCCCGGGTCGGGGCGCAGGAGGCCGCGGGTGCGTGCTGCACCGCCTTGGGAAAGCTGGGCTCGGTCCGGGGCGGGGCCCCTGGGCCTGGGGCCCCCAGTTTTGTGGTTGGGGGAGGTAGCCGTGCGGATTTAGTGGGATATGAAGACTGGCCAAGGGTCGGTTTCCGATCCTCAGGCAACGCACAGAGTCAGGCTGCATCATGGGTGCGATGCTCCGTATGTGTTGTGTGTTCCGAGCTGCAGCAAGCGAGAGGTGCGCGCAGTTTTTGTATGTGCTTATATAAGAACCCACTCCTCCGCATCTCTTTCCCAAAGACCCCGTGTCGCCCCTGCTGCACGATGGACACTGTGTCTTCTCTCCAGGCCACCGCCTCCCACCGGCCTTTAAACGTTTGTTTTTTAAAGAGCGGTGGTGGAAACTTCAGGCTCCTCTCTTTTCGCTCCTTGCACCCTAAGGTCAAATTGTGCTGAGGTTTATGACCACGGTCTTACCAACTATTAGAAATCTCCTCTGTCCTCCACGCCTTGGTGCAGTTTTCCTGATGGTAATTAGATCGTGCAGGAGCTTAGGTGGCCTCAGCAGAAACGAGAAACAGCTTCGTTGGTTCTTCAGGGTTGTAGGACCCATATTATTTTATAGTTACCTGGTTTAAAAAGAGCCCTTGGTGAATGGGGTTATTTATTTTACCTTCAGCGACTTGACCTTTTAAACGTTACATGCTTTCTGATATTGATTGATCTTGCCAATGAAAACCTTACGCATTGCAGATATATGCTTCCGAATGAATCTTGGAATCGTAAACATTTTGCTTATCCTTGGAGCAAAGTAATCTAGGTGTAATCTGTAGAGTATTTGACTCTAGTTTTGTATTATTATTATTTTTTTAATTAAAAAAAAGGCACGGGGGGGTGGGTGCGGAGGGAAATTGACAAGTGTCTGTGAGCTGGTCACATTTTTAGTTAGCAATTTAAAAATCTTTTCTCCTTGGTATGACATATTGAGACAAATATGGTGTTCAAAAATTAAAGGGCAGACGAGGCAAAATGCATCTTTTGTTCCATGCTCCTTTCTCATTATTGAGGATGATAAACTTTGAATACTTCATTCATTTTCTTTATAAAATTCTGTTGACTGTTTCCAGTTCAAATCTGATTCACTAAGTATCTAATTGTATTCAGCCTACAATTTGCTTTTTAAAAGTTACATCAAGCTAAATTAGGATTGTTCTTTCAGATATGAGATGGAGGTCTGAAAGTCTGGCATAGCCAAGAACAAAAGCTCGTGATATGTGTCAAAGTTTTGCTTGTCTTGGGGAAAGCCCACACATTTAAAAATATGCATTGGATTGGATATTTTGGGAACAGTTCAAATGTATTTGGCTTAGTCACTAGTAACATTTCTTGTTAAAAATCCATGTTTTCTTAAGGTTTGTCCATTCCCCCACATATGCTATTGATTGTTGAATTACTTTATATACTTAAATAGCATAAATTTCAACTACCAAGGATTAAGAGAAATCTTACGTGAAAGATGCTTTGATACTTGAGTCCTTTGTATATTACTTTCTAAGCTTTTCTTGGTGCAGTTCTAGTACAAGGATTCTTAGACTTCAAAATAAAAACCTATTCTAAATATCAGCTATCCTGGTGTGGCACTGTAGGAAAAGTATTGGTCTGGTAACCACAAGGATGGCAGTTTAAACCCACTAGCCACTCTCAGAAACCTTAGACAGGGTTTGCTTCTGAACTTAACACACGTAAATCAACAACATTATGCTAAATTTGGTTTTTTTTCAGCTTGCAATTTAGAAAACATCTCACTAATACTACATGAACTGCTAATTAAGTGATTATATTTTGAAATGTTGCAACGGAGTTTTTTATTTAAATAGGCAATTTGTGGAGATACTTTCTATGGGCTCGTTTTAAAAGATGATTGGGCCAGCTGATATCTGAAAAAAATTTTTTTTTATTGCATCAAGGAAGTACAATAGTATGAACTGCTCTTCACATATTCTAGCTATCTCTAATAATTATTACCAGGATGAAATTGTCAAGTAAAGCAAATTGGTTGGAAAAGTATCCTTGGCATGTGTTAATTCACTAGAGGGCCTTTGTGTAGGTTACTACTTTTCTCTCCACTGAGTCAGTGACCAGGGAAGATAAAATTTAAATACAGGAAACAGAAATCTAACTTTCCCTGTTCGACTTTTTCTCCCCTGCCCCCTCACCTATTCCATTTTAATACTTAGCTATTCAGCTTTTTCCCCTTGGAACACTTTATTGTTTACTTTTATTTTGGGGGGCTCTCCCCTCACTAAGGAGCTCTCTCTGGTAGCTTACGAGTCTGGCTGCCAACCTCAAGGTCAGCAGTTTGAAACTACCAGCGGTTCTGTGGGAGAAAAGATGAGGCGTTCTGCTCCTGTAAAGATTTACAGCCTCGGAAACCCTGTGCAGGGTCACTATAAGTCAAAGCCGACTCCATGGTACTTAACAACAACAACTCCCCTCACTAATCAGATGGTGAGAGAGGGTTTTTTGATGTTTGTTCAATCCAGCTGTCTTAGTTACCTAGTGCTGCCATAACAGAAATACAGTAAGTGGGTGGCTTTAATGAACAGAAATGTATTTCCTCACAGTTTGGTGGTTATGTGCCATGGAGTCATTCCGACTAATAGCAACCCTGTACAGGGTTTCCGAGACTGTACATCTTTAGGGGAGCAGAAAGCCTCATCTTTCTCCCACAGAGCAGCTGGTAGTTTCGAACTGCTGACCTTAAGGTTCACAGCCTGAATCTTAACCACTGGCAAGAATTCTGAATTGACCGCCTTAGGTCTAGGGAAAGGCTCGCTTTCTCTCTGAGCTGTGGGAGTAGGTCCTTATCTCTTTTCAGCTTCTATTCCCAGGTTCCTTGGTGATCATGTGACATGCTTGCTTGCATACTCTGCTTTTGTAGCTTAAAAGAGATTGATTGAAGTGTAGTGGTTACGAATCAGGCTGCGAATCGCAAGGTCAGCAGTTCGAAACTACCAGCTGCTCCCCTGGAGAAAGATGAGGCGATCTGCGCCCGTAAAGATTTACAGTCTTGGAAACCCTGTGCAGGGTCGCTATGGGTCGAAACCGACTCGACGGCACTTAACAACAACAAAACAACATTCCCAGGTTCCTTGGTGATCATGTGACATGCTTGCCTGCATACTCTGCTTTTGTAGCTTAAAAGAGATTGATTGAAAAGACACACTATACTAATACTGTATTAACATAACAAAGAAATCTCTTTCCCAAATGATATGATAAAACTATAGGTATAAACCCCAAACCAAACCCAACCCACTGCCATCAAGTGGATTCCAACTCATGGGGTGCTATACAGGGTTTCCAAGACTATAAACCTTGATAGGAACCTTCTCTTTCTCCCGTGGAGTGGTTATCAGTCTGAACTGCTGGCTTTGTTGCCATTAACAGCTCAACGCTTATCCTATAGCACGGCACCATCAGACCTCCTTGACCACAGGTAATTTGTTGTTGTTAGTGTCCTTGAGTCAGTTCTGACTCGTAGTGACCCTTGTATAGGGTTTCTGAGGAGTGGCTGGTGGGTTGAACCACTGACTTTTCAGTTAGCAGTCCAGTGCTTATCCTACAGTGCCAGGACTCTAGCCACAGGCATAGAGGTCAAAATTTACAACATATATTTTTGGAGGGTACACACTTCAATTCATAAACACCAGCCATGGCAGTCACACAATATTTGGTGACTGATTGAATGGATAGCTATAACTATGTTTCAGTTTAAGCAACATAGTGTGTTTACATCATAATATTCACCTGACAGAAATTCTCTTACACTTAAAAAAAAAAAATACAGGCATAGAGGACTAACAAACTTCAACTCTGCTGTGTTGATATAGGACCTTCCTTAGTAGTTAATACCCCAAGGATCCATTCTATAGAACCTAAAAATCTGTATCCATCTTTTAAAGACTGTAGCTTTGTGGCTACTACTCTGGGTCCATTTTTGAGAAAAATCTTGAAATCCATAGTTTTTTTGGAAAATGGCTCATTTTCCAGAGGCAACTTTGAGGAAAAAGTCCTTTGTGTATAAACTTCAATAGTACACTTAATCCATCATTTCTGTTGTTGAAAATATTTCACACAAGATCTGTAATTCCAAAGAAACAATCAAACATTACTAATTCTGAATATATTCCAGTTCAAGAACTGTAAAACTCAATGAACTGAAACCTTCAATTAACTGGAAATCACATTTTGGTTGCATACTTATTTTAGGAGAAAAAACCTAAAGCCAGGAATTTTTTTTCAAAAGGAAGATTTAGGATTTCATGTCATATATTATCTGTGTTTGCATTACTTAATTTTTGAGTTCTCCTCCCCTGCAAAAAAAAACTTCAGCTTATATTTCAGTTTTAGATAGGAGGAAAATGAACAATAAACAAAATTTATATAAACCATGACTTTTTTTTTTTCACTGAAATTAGAAAATGCTGTAATTTCATGACACTCTGGTAGCGTAGTGGTTACGAATCGGGCTGTGAACCGCAAGGTCAGCAGTTCGAAACTACCAGCTGTTCTGCGGGAGAAAGATGAGGCTTTCTGCTCCCGTAAAGATTTACAGCCTCGGAAACCCTGTACAGGGTCGCTATGAGTCAGAACCGACTCCACGGCAGCTGTAAGATCAGCAATGAACTGCGAACAAAAAGGTCGGCAGTTCAAACTCACCAGCTGCTTCTCATAAACCCTATACAGGGTCGCTTTGAGACGGAACCAACTCGATGGCACTTTACAATAACAACGGTCTTGGTGTGGTGCTGTAAGATCAGCAATGAACTGCTCACCACAAGGTTGGTTGGTGGTTCAAACCCGCCAGTTAGTTGCTTCTTGGCTATGAGTTGGAACTGACTCAATGGTACTTAACAGTACAACAATCATAGGATTTGGTTAAGTATGTTCTTAATGTTTAAAATGAGGATTCTGACGTTAAGATCTCAAAACATGAAAAAAGGATTGAATTATTATTGCTAAATTTTTTTTCATTGCCAAATTTTAAGACAGGAAAATACAAATTTTTGAGTAGCGTTTTCATTTAAGAGTTGAAATGAAACAAACCTTTTATGTTCAAGTTGATTCTGATTCGTGCATTACAGAGAACTGTGCGCCTCAAAGAGTTTTCTTGGATTTTATCCCTATGGAAGTGGAGCTGCTGGTGGGTTTGAACCATCAACCTTTAGGTTAGAAGGCTGGGACGAACTGTTTCAGGGCTGCCTGAAACAAAAGAGATCTGATTATTCTGAAAATCATCTGTTGACTTGGTTAAAGCAGAATCACTTGAAAGAATCCATTTAAAATGTTGAATTGCTCCAAAATAAAACTCT